GATGTCACAAGAAAAAGTTTCCATGCCATGAAGTAATAATTTAAGGTATTTTTTAATAAAGTCTTCTAACTTAATGTTATCCATTCATCAAGAAATTAATATGATTCTTTGGTTCAACTCTCTCACTTAAAAGTCATACTCAGTTCTATTTAGTAATGATGATAATGGATTTAAGGTAATTTATACAACACTGAGAATTATTTTATCCAACAATTAATATATCTTCTCTGGGCCTGACAGTTTTAGAAGAAAAAAAAAGCTGGTTTCAGTCACTTCTTTTAAGTCAGTCATTCTATTGTTATCTTAATAGTACATGAATTTTCTATTTTGTATTTGATCAATTTGCATCTTCATTGTGATAGAGTATCATCATTGTCATTTTATTCTTCTTTTTCAATGGTGTATAGCTAGAAATGATCCTGTGACAAGCTACTATCCTGCTGTTATTATTTTTATATTTAATGTTCTAAAAATTGTTTCACAGATAAAGCAGTTTCTTATAGTTGAATAAAAGTATAATTTAAGTTAATTCTTTGTAGGCTCACTGAAAGCATCATCAGCATAAATTCAGCATTAGATAAGAAAATAAGGATCATATGCACCTCATTTTGTTTCCACAAAATTTTTATCTCCTCTGTTAAGTCTCTATATTTTGAAAGTTTTTCATTACATGTAACTTATACATTAAGAGCACTTGGAATGGCAATATATATTAAAAACATTCTTTCATGTTACATCCAAGTGATTTGAGGCAGTAGTTTGGCTAGTGAATAGTGGTATGGTCCCAGTACAGTTTATTGGTTGCATTATCCAAGATATTTTGAGGTCTAAATTTGTAAAATGGGGATTTGTCATTTGTTAGTCCATGAAAGACAGTGAGCTTCTGATGTTTAAGGTTAGCCATTAGGTGATATGTTGATAGGCATTCAATAGAGGCTAAATTTGTATATCCTACAGATAACGTGTTGCACAGTTTTTACCATTTATTTGAATAACCTACATTGATTACTAAGTCTAAGCTCCTCGTGGGCAGCCTGTCTATAATTTCTAATAGCAATAATGTAGTTCTGAATCACCATCATAAACCCATTTGTTTCCACAAATAAGTCCACGTGATTCAGGCATTGGTTCTATTCTGCTTGGTTGTCATATTGTTGGCCAAGTTTACATGGACCTAGCCCCTAGAGGATCTTTTGATTCTATTCTTGGATCTTAGCAATTTCATAAACTTCATCCAGAGGCAAATAATTTTCATTTAATATTCTACAAATCTAGTTATATGAATTTTTATTGGCCTTTATGTTGCTATTTGAATTGATATTAGACATTATGATTGTTCTATGAAGAAAGTACTTCCCAAAGTCTTTCTTAGGTTTGTGACCTATAGATCATGTTCTCTAAGAATGTCTATCAATCCTCTTCCTCTGTTTTAGCAGGGAAGTGTTCAACTTTCTATAGCTGCCTAAGGTGATGGTCCCTGTGTTTCATTAACATTGTATAGGTCTTTGTTGGGATAATTTCCAAATTTGTTGGTCCATTTTACAGATCTAAAGGTATGTATTTTACATAGGTGTTAATTGTTTTGAACTTGTTCTTTCCAGTCAGCATTGATAACAGAAAACCAATAAGTATCTTGATATATTCTGTCACAGATTTCCCTTGATACTCTTAACCCAGCCTATTTCTTAATTGTGCTTAATGTTTTCTACCATCTCTTACTAGCTGTACGACTCTGGGCAAGTCACTTAACCCTTATTTGCCTCAGTTCTTCATCTGTAAAATAGGGTCACACTGCAGAAGGAAATGGCAAACCACTCTAGTATCTTTGCAAGAAAACCTAATGGGCAAGTCCATGGGGTGACAAAGAAAGGGTCAGCTGGGTGGCACAGTGGATAAGAGTGTTGGGCCTGAAGTCAGGAAGACTCATCTTGCTGAGTTCAAATCTGGCCTCAGACACTTTCTAGTTGTGTGACCTTGGGCAAGTCACTTAACTCTGTTTGCCTCAGTTTCCTCATCTGTGAAATGAGCTAGAGAAGGAAAGGGCAAACCACTCTAGTATCTTTGCCAAGAAAACCCCAAAAATGGGATCATGAAAAGTCAGACATGACTAAAACGACTGAACAACAACTGTTTACTCATATTTTCAACCTCACTTCTTGGATTAGGATTTTGTATTAGGTCACTCTTCTCAACATCCTAGGACGGTTTGGGCAGGACTTGTTTAATTCTGCCCCCTCTGTATTCTGGACACTACTACTATTGCTGATCTACACAGAATGGTTGGCATTAAGCCCACCCTCTTCCTCAATCCTTGCTTTTCATCTCTGCCTTGTTGTAGCCCACTGTGGGCTCTGACCTTGAAGGGTATCTGTCTTCTTTTCCTCAAAGGATCATTCCATTCTTGCTGTGGCTCTGACAGGGATGTTGAAGTTTATGGTATTCTCAACAGCCCCCCTGGCAATGGTGCCCAGACACTTGTCTCCTGCTATGACTATCAGTGCCAGGACACGATTCTCTGAGTAGCCTATAGTGGCCCGAGTAGCCTATAGTGGCCCAAGTAGCCTCTATTTCTCTTCAGATAGGCCAGGACTGAGATATGAGTTCAGGTCCTGATTACTAGAGATTGTGTTGACTTGTTTCTAGTTGTAGAGGCTCACAGCTTCACTATTACTAAAGAGATATCATTGTCCTTATTAGGGAAATGCTTTCTAGTCCCAGTTCCCTAGCAGTTGGGAACCAAAGTGGCTTACAGGTGCCCTGAAGAGGTCAAACTCAGATTCTATTAACAGAGAGAAGCTCAGTTCTAAGAGATAAGTGGTGATATGCGGCCGCAAGATCAAACAATTGACCTCCACCATCTGCAAGAGACCAGCAGGGAGCAGGCTCTAGAGAAACAGCATAAGACATTACCAGAAGATAGTGGAAGTCTTGCAGCATGGGAGGTATGAATTACTTCTGCATGCATATATCATGGCTGTGCATATTCCCTATATCTGTGACCTTTCACAAATAAGTCTTGGTCACAAAGAAGCCACAATTGTCGCCTCCTATGTAAGACATTTCCTGATTGCCCCCAAACTGAGAGGGCCTCCCAAATCACTTTGTGTTTACTTTCTATAAAGTTTGTATTTACTTATTTGTCTATGTGGTGTTTTCCCCAATAGAATATAAGTCATATGAGTAACTTCCAAATGTGTGTCTCTCTATTCCTGCTATAGAACTATGTCTATTCTTCCCACTGATGATGGGTGTGTTTGCAAGGGAGTAAGATTTATGGGGGAAATGTTCATTATTAATTTTCTCATTGCTTTGAACTAATTGCATCTCAAATTAAACATCATAAGAGAAAACTCGTGTCTTCCCTCCCAAAGCCCACCTCTCTCTCCCCTATTTCTATTGAGATTACTACTCTTCTTCCAGTCTCTCAGTTCTGCAACCTAGGAGTTATCCTTGATGCTTCTCTGTCACTCCACACCTCTGTCTCCAATCACTTGACAAGTCTTCTCAGTCGTATCTCCACAATATCCCTCACATCATCCCTTTCCCTCCACACATAACACCATGGACCACATTGTTTAGGCTTTCATTACCTTTTGCCTGGGTCATTTCATGAGCTTACTAACTGGGCTCCTTAATACAAATGGCTTCCCTCTCCAATCTATCCCCTCCAGCATTGCAAAACTGATATTCCGAAAGCACAGTTCAGATGACATCATTCTCCTGTTCAACAAGCCGCAGGACCCCTAGCTGCCTCTTGGATAAAATCTGAACTCCTTAGTTTGAGATTTAAAGTCATTTATACTCTGGCTCCAGGCCACTTTTCCACGCTTATTATACATTACTCCCCTTCATGCACTCTTATGTTCTAGCCAAATTGACCTGCTTACTGTTCCTCACATAATGACATTCCACTTCCCATCTATATGCCTTCACATAAGCTATAGCCCACGCCTAGAATACACTTGCTCCAGACCTTCATCTCTTAGAATCTCTGATTTCTTCCAAAGCTTTGAACAAATGCCCTCCCCTACATGAGACCTTTCCTGATCCCCCTATTAATAATGTTCCTCCAAATTACTATGTATATATTTTGTATTTACTCATCTTTCTACATATTGTTTTCCCAAAAAGTATACAAGTTCCTTGAGGACAGGGACTCCTTGGGTTTTTTTTTGTGTGTGTCTTTGTATCTCCAATGTCTCACACATATTAAGTAATAACTCATTGCTAGTGTTTATGAAGTGCTTTAAGGTTTACCAAGTGCTTTGCACATAGTGTCTATTTGATCCTTACAACAAGATAGGTACTATTACTACCCCAATTTTATAATGAAGAAACTGAAGTACATGAGATTAAGTGGCTTGGCCAGGGCCACACAGTGAGTAAGTATCTGAGTCAAGATTCAAGTTCAACTCTTATTGACTCCAAACCTAATATTCTATTCACTGCACCACCTGGTTTGTTGACTGATGGTTTAGTTGTATTCTTTGCCTAACTAGTACAAGTATTAGTGGGGGCTCATGAGTTATAATTTTGAGTGGATTTCAATCCACAAAGTAGCTTAAACTTGGGACTGCTCTTGTGCCAGAACTCACTCTAGGTTCCCTCTCCCTCCAAGGGCCCATCAATCAGTCCTGCTCTTAAGCAAACACAGATTGCTTCAATCTCTGAGTACAGGTAACACAGAAGTCAGCAAATTGATTGTTGGGTGGTGGTTTCTGGTAGCCCCAGTTCCCATTTAGTATAGATGATTTAGTATAGATGATAGAAATCCTTTTTTTTTTTTTGCTAGTATAGCTGGCATTGTTTATTAGTTGTTTAGAGTAAAGAGGTCTTAATATAATACTTATGAATTAGTTGATGTGGTTGTAATATACAATTCTTGAGTTACAAGATTTTCTCAAAACAATCTCTTTCTAAAAACTGAATACCATTCTGATATTACATGAACTAGAAAAAGGTGACGTGAAACATTTACAGAAAATTTTCTTCACTTGTAGGTTCCTTGGAGTTGTCTTCTGTTCAGCAATCATTGGTTTTTTCATTTTGTAATCATCACACAGAAGCTATAAAAATCTTATTTTCAGTCACATTGTGTAAGCCAGAGCCTGCCATGTACATGCTATTAGGAAAAACCCAAATGAAGGCCAAAAAAATACAGGTGAGAAAATTTAACAGTAATTTTTATTAAATGTGTTGATAGAATCGATATGCTGTATTTAACATTGTTGTTTAAATTTATAGTGGAGTTTTCTCTTTCCATATAATGCCTTACTTTATGGGACTTGGAAAACTGCTATAGGAAGTCTTACTAAGATGGTTCATGATGTCATGGAGGTGATTTTGAACTCTTGGAAGTAGAGCACAAGATCTTTTAGAGTTTACCAAACCGAAAAGGTTCTGAATATAAACCCAACAATAGACTATGACCCATCTGAAGGCTACTCTAATTAAATTCAGAGATTCATCATCAGTACATTGGTTTCGGGGGGATTTATTTTTCAATCCCATAATTTATAATAATTACTTACCTTAAAGTGTGGAGGGAATTTGATCCGATCTTGTGAAAGGAATGCTGACAAAAATTACCAATCCCTGAAGTATTGAAGCATGAACCATTTTTAATAGCTCTTGTATCAGGATGGTTTACCAGGATGAGAGCTTATGATAACTAATCTAGTTCAGAGGTAAGCAAACTATGGCCCACTGGCCAAATCTGGTCTGATGGATAATGGTTTTTATATTAATTCTGAACTTGAAGACTGTACAAAAACAGGCAGTGGGATGGATTTGGCCCTTGGGCCATGATTTGCTGACCCCTGATCTAGTTGATAGCAGTTTCATTGGCTTCATAGTTTGGAGAGGGGACAGACTAGAAGTAGGAAGCTCAATTAGGAGGCTCTTATAGTAGGTGGTGAGAACCTGAACTAGAATAGTAGCTTTCTTCTTCTCCCAGTACATTCCTGTCTCACTCCTTAATTTTCTTTTTTAGATATCATCCCTTCATTTTCAACTTACCCTGTGTCCTCTGTCTATATATATTCCCTCCAACTACCCTAATAATGAGAAAAGTCTTATGAGTTACAAATATCATCTTTCCATGTAGGAATGTAAACAGTTCAGCTTCAGTAAGTGCCTTATGATTTCTCTTTCCTGTTTACCTTTTCATGCTTCTCTTGAGTCTTGAAAGTCAAATTTTCTATTCAGCTCTGGTCTTTTCATTAAGAATGCTTGAAAGTCCTCTATTTCACTGAATGTCAATTTTTTTCCTCTGAAGGTTTATACTCAGATTTGCTGGGTAGGTGATTCTTGATTGTAATCCTATCTCCTTGGACCTCCAGAATATTATATTCCAAGCCTTCAGGTCCCTTAATGTAGAAGCTGCTAAATCTTGTGTTATCCTGATTGTGCTTCCATAATACTTGAATTGTTTCTTTCTGGCTGCTTGCAACATTTTCTCCTTGACCTAGGAACTCTGGAATTTGGCTACAATATTCCTAGGAGTTTTTCTTTGGGGGTTTCTTTCAGGAGATGATTGGTAGATTCTTTCAATTTCTATTTTACCCTCTGGTTCTAGAATATCAGGGCAGTTCTCCTTGATAATTTCTTGAAAGATGATGTCTAGGCTCTTTTTTTGATCATGGCTTTCAGGTAGTCCAATAATTTTTAAATGATCTCACTAGGATCTATTTTCCAGGTCAGTTGTTTTTTCAATGAAATATTTCACATTATCTTCCATTTTTTCATTCTTTTGGTTTTCTTGGTTTCTCATAAAGTCACTAGCTTCCATTTGCTCCATTCTAATTTTTAAGGAAGTATTTTCTTCAGTGAGCTTTTGGATTTCCTTTTCTAAGGCATTTTTCTCCTCATTGGTTTTTTGGACCACTTTTGCCATTTGGGTTAGGTTATTTTTTAAGGTGTTATTTTCTTCAGTATTTTTTGGGTCTCCTTTAGCAAGCTGTTGGCTTGTTTTTCATTATTTTCTTGCATCACTCTCATTTCACTTCCCAGTTTTTCCTCCACTTCTCTTACTTGCTTCTCAAAATCCTTTTTGAGCTCTTCCATGGCCTGGGACTGATTCATATTTTTCTTGGAGGCTTTGGATGTAGTTTTGACTTTGTTGTCTTCTTCTGGTTGTATGTTTTGATCTTCTTTGTCACTGAAATAAGATTCTATGGTCTGACTTTTTTTGCATAGTTTGCTCATGTTCCTAGCCAATTACTTGAGTTTTAAACTCTTTGTTAAGGTAGGGGTCTGTTTCCAGTGTGGAAAATGTACTGTCACAAACTTTGGGGGTTTTGTGCAGCTGTTTTCAGAGATACTTCTAGGGACCTATAAATTTTCAGGTCTTCCCAGGTGGTATGATCAAAAATGAGGTGTTTATTCCTTTCTTGGCCTGTGCTCTGGTCTGTGGGTGGCCACAAGCACCCTTTTCTGCCTTAGAACTGTAAGGAGGATTCCCTCTCCACCTCCACTACATGTTCCACCATGCCAGCACTCCTCCTCGCCCCAGGACTGCCACCTAGGACTGCAACCCAGATCCAAGCACAGGCAAAGCAAGAGAATCCTGCCTTTCCTGCAGAGATCCCTGCAATTCAAGAATCCTGCAGAGATCCCTGCAATTCCCCTCTGATCAGCTGCTTGATCCTCCCACCATCTGTGAGCCAAGAGCTCCAGAAGCAGCCACCATCTTGGGGCTGTGCCAGGACTGGGGTTGGACAGAGCTGCTCTCTCACCCAGGTCCAACAGACCTTTCCTACTGACCTTCTAACTTGTCTCTGGTGTTTGTGGGTTAAGAAGTCTGGAAACTGCCACAGCTGCTTGTGATTCAGTCCCCTGAGGCTTACTCTGCGTTTGCTGAGGCTCTGTCTTCGCCCGCAAGGCCCACACTGAACTGTGCTCCTCTCCCCACCCAGCGCAACAGACCTTTCCTGCTGACCTTCTAGGTTGTCTTGGGCTGGAAATTTGTTTTACTCTGTCTTTTTGTGAGTTCTGCTGCTCTAGAATTTGTTTAGAACCATTTTTTACAGGTATTTGGAGGAATTTGGGGGAGAGCTCAAGCTAGTCACTACTTTTACTCTGCCGTCTTAGCTCTGCCTCCAAAGATGGCTTTTTTTTTTTCCAACAATGGGATGAAGTGACTTGTCCAGGGTCACACAGCTAGTAAGTGTCAAGTATCTGAGGCCAGATTTGAACTTAGGTCTTCCTGAATCCAAGGCCAATGCTCTATCCACTGTGCCATCTAGCTGCCCCTACTTTTATTTTTTAAAAGAAAAATAAAAATTGATTAAAAATTAAAGTTATATCAGATTTTTTTCACAAGCACTCTTTTGCTATTAATTAGGCCCATAATATTTTGCCTCCTCAAATCACTAGGGGATATGGCTTGAAATAGAATAAATGTCTTACTTGAATTTCAAGGAAATAATTCTTTAATATTTTCAGGAACTTCTTAAGCTAATACTTCTAAATTTTAATTTTCTAAGAAAATTCACCCAATATATTTGTCATAAGCATACTACAATAGTTTGTATGTTGTTATGGAAAGAATATTAGATGGAAAGTCAGGAAATTTAGTTTTTAGTTCTTGGTCTGACACTGCCCAGGTGAGCGACTAACTATATGGTACTTAACTTCTTACTTAACGTCTTACTTACTTAACTTAACTTACTTAACTTCTTTGGATCTTTTTTTAATGAGAAAGTTAGACTGGATAATCTTTAAGATTCCTTTCGACTCTAAAATTCTGTAATTCTAAGCAAATAATAAAAAGGTTTCACTTTTTTATCATTGTAGAATGCTGTGATAACTTTTAAAAGGGCTTTGGATGCAATAACTGCTACAGACAGGACACCAAAGGGATCATTTCTGTCCGCGGAATGTTACTATCACTTAGGTCTTTGTTACATGGAAGAAGGGAATCTCCAATTGGTATTTTCTGAGATTTTTAAAATATATGCATTTGTTACTTTTAGAAGCTGTTAAGGAACATGGCATCTTTTGGTTATATATAAGAACCCCACTTATAAAGGTTATATCCCCACAAGGTAGTCTAAGACTTCTTCTATGACTTGTCAATATGTAACATCAACAGTGTTATAGCTTCTGTGATAAGCCAAGCTCAAGAAAATTACATAAATATTATTGAGCCAACTCACTTAATCCTGGTTCTAACCTATCTAGATATTATTATTCAGTAATGACACTTGACATTATTCATTGTAATGATTTATTATCATTGTGATGTCATTATTCAATAATGATTCTTCATGTCTATTTCATGACTGGTATCTTAGGTAAAAATATTTAAAATATACTTAACAACAAGTCTAATTCCAGAAAATATTTTTATAAAATAATCCAACTGCATTTTATGAAGCAATCTTTTTCCTGAAACACATGTCTCAGTGTGATGAAAAACATTAGACTAGTGACCAATTAGCTTCTCTGTACTGGCAATTATAGTGGTTGATCAAATTGTGTAGAACTTAGTCATTAACATTAGCAGTTTGACAACAACCATGTGATTCCACAGCTAATACTTGGTGTCCTTTTATTAATGATAAAAGCTATTAGTAGCTTAAAGTTACACCAAGCCTTTTGGGACACTGTATAGACAACCTTGAGCACTATGTATTAAAATTCACACTTCAAATTTGTGACCTTTATCTTACATGTTAAAAATAAAAATAATATACAATTGTATATGTATAATGCAATGGATAATTCCTTCATCCTTAAATAGACACTCATGTACATTTGTAATTTCATGGGCCAATGTCTATGGAATTGGTCAGTATTCTAAACTTACAGCTTAACAGAAGAACCCATCGATATTCTTTATGTTGTGTGTCACATTTTACTATACTCTTGCACTAACTTTTGTATGTTTTGGCCTAAAGGTCACATTAGTACTTAATAGGGCCACATGTTAGTTATTCCAACAAGAAATTCCAAAGAGTCTAAGGATCATTGCTTGGCCTCCTGCCTTTTTTTCTTTGTTTGTTTGTATCTTCTGGATGGTCAGAGCCCAACTTTAATTTAAACACACAGACACACACACACACACACACACACGTTTCCTAAATACCCACTGCCTATTAGGCACTGTGCTAAACACTGGGGATACAAAAATGAAAGACAACTCTTAGTCCCAGTCCTTGAAAAACCTTACATATATTAGGATTATAAGATCTTAGAGCTAGAAATAAATACTTTTGAAGCATAATAATTGAAATTTCATTCCTGATTCTCATTTGATAACCATTAATAGAGATTCAAAAGAGCACCACTGAAAATTAACCTGGCATTCCTTTTTAGTGTGAGCAAAAATTAAAGTTTGTATATTAACAACTATGATAAAGCTGATAAAGTTGTGGGTACAAGTTCCAGCTTTGTCACCTAGTAAACTATGTCAATATGAGCAAGCCATGTAATTTAGTTGATTGATTTTCAAAATCTGTAAAAAATAGTTAATCATACCTGTTCTGCTTCCCTCACAAGGTTATTTCAAGTATAACATAAAATAATATGTGTAGGAAACATTTTTGTAACTGTAAAGTACTATGTAAATAGAAATTAATAATAATGCAACATTATTATTATTATTACCCACACCATTTAAGTGAGGAGTAATTATTTTTCTAAACATGGTAATCATTGTTTAGTATTTATTAGTTCAATTGCTTATTAGTTCAATTAGTTCAATGTTTTACAAAGCAACACATAGTAAATAGGTTTGTAAATAATTATAGAATGCTACTTAATTTATAAATTTTTATTTCTATTTGCTTTACATAATGAGTTTTTAAAAAGCAATAAAAGTATCCATAGGACAAAATTATTGTTTTAAAATTCACATACTATTTTATTGGTTTTTAGAAAGTAATGGCATATGGTTTATTGATCCAAGTTGTTTCTTTTTTATTATGTGACCTTTATAGGCCTTTGACTTTTTTAACAAAGCAGTGAAAGTATACCCTGAATATGCTGAGGCTTTTTATCAACGAGGCCTTTGTAAAGTGAAACTCCAGAAGGATAAATGTGTGCAGGATTTCAATCGGGCAATTACCATCAATCCAAAACATTATCAGGTATTTGAATTTTCACTGTTTGTGATTTCAATACATGTAATGTTGCACTGTGCTAAGCATTGAGGATATTGCCGCCCCCCCAAAAAAAGACAAAAATATAGTCCTGGCCCTCAAGAATCTCACATTTTAATGGAAGAGACAATATGAAAATAACTAGGTACATACAAAATATATACAAAGTAGATTGAGTATAATCTCCTGGGACAAGGAGAGATGAGAGTCCCAGGAAAGACCTCTTGAAGAGAGTTGCGTTTAAGCTGAGACTTGAAAGAAGCCAGGGAAACTAAAGAGAAGAGGTAAGAGGTATGGAGAGAGAACATTCCAGATACAGGGAACAGAGTTCTATTTTTCTTTGTGTTTTCAGAATTTCATTCATAGAGCTTCCCATCCTTCTTGAGCTGACTTCTTTAGAATTTTAGTCCATGGTACATTACTGATTATTTTCAGTATTACTTCCAAACTTATTTTCCTAAGATCTAGGGTATCTGACAATCATGCTCAGCTTTCTTCTCCTACTTTATCACAAATTATAAGAAATATAGTAATCACTTATTCCCAAAGTGGCAGCCTACTGTACTGGATAGAGCTCTCACTTATGAGACTTGGGTTCAAATCACACCTCAGATATTTACTAACTGTGTAATCGTGGGAGATAAATCTCCTGACTGAAGTAGAAATTTTGGAAATGAAAGAAGAGATTTAACCAAAGTGAAAGCAAGAAGACCATGGAATTAATAAATAAAACTATGAGCGTGAGGGGATGGGACAACAAAATAGACAAACTATTAGGCAAGCCAAGAGGCATTTACCAAATGCATACTATGTGCCAGTCATTCTGCTAAGCACTGAAGATGCAAAGGGCAAAAACCATCCCTGTCCTCAAGGAGCCTATAATCCAACAGGAATAAGCAGCATGCAAACAACTATGTACAAACAAGAGATAGATAGATAGATAGATAGATAGATAGATAGATAGATAGATAGATAGATAGATAGATAGATAGAATAAACCAGAGATCATCTCAGAGGGAAGGCACCAAGATTAAAAAGAAACAGGAAAGACCTATGGCCAAAGTAGAATTTTAGCTGATACTTAAGTAAGCCAACGAAGCCAGGGGATAGATGTAAGGAAGGAGAATATTCTTGGCTAACATGAAAGTTAACCAGTGAAAACTAACAGAGCTGGGAGCCGGAGTGTTTTGTAGGATCTTATATTTTGAGAGGACTAAGATATAAACAGCCTGGAAAGAAGGAAGGGATCAAGTTATGAAGAGCCTTAAATATCAGACATATTAAATGCCGAACATAGGACTTTGTCTTTGGTTCTGAAGATAAGAAGGAACTCCTGGAACTAACTGAGAAGAGAGCTGATGTAGTCACACCTACTTGCTAGAAAAATCACCTTGGCACCTAAGTACCAAGAGGGAGAGATTTGAGGAAAGGAGAACAATATTAGTACAGGTGAAAGGCAATAAGGACCTAAACTAGGTGAAGAAAAGGGAACATATGCTAGAGTTTTATTGTCTTCATGCGACTGTTTTCTTTATAAGAATGTTTTTAAGCTACTTCTCTAGTTTGTGAGTTAATTTAGTTAAAACTAGATAATACAACCTGTAAATCCACTTAACCAGGCACATGTACAATGTATTTAAATATGCTAACCATAAAAGAACAGGTGAGGGCACCACTGTTAACTCCTCTCTGTTGTGTTACTCTCATTCTTAGGATATCTCTTGTAATGTTTGTAACGCGAGAGTACCAGTGTTAATCAATATATTAAACATTTGTAAAGTTTAATTTTTTTAGATGATTATCAGAAATAGAAGTTTTAATATTTTCTTTCCATATCCCAGAGCAGGGTATTGCACATTCCTTCCCTACCCTCACCCCCTTTGGAGACCACTGATCTAAATTCCCTAAACTGAAATTCCTTATCACAACTATATCATGTTTCCTGGCCAGGCTTATGATTTACTTTCAAAATATCTCATCTATTTCTCCTTATATCCAGGCAGTGTGGATGATAATATCACTTCTGTTTTCGTCTTGCTGACTTTAACCCAAATGTTCCCCATCATACTTCCCCACTCTGTTTTCTGGACTTCCTCATCCTCCTCCATCCTCCAAATGGAGGAGACAACATGCAAAAAATTGTACATACAAGATACACAGACTGTAAATGGAAGGTAATTTCAGAGGAGAGGAAATAACAGTGTGTGGTGGAGAAAGTAGAGGAGGTAGACCTAGAGGAACATCCTGATGAAATTGGGATTTGAGCTGAGTTTTTGAAGGAAGCCAAGGAAACCAGGAGGGGGAGGTAAAGGAGAGTATTCAAGGCATAGGGGACAGTGATTAAAAAGGCATGGAGTAGGGAGATGGAATATTGTGTGCAAAACAAAATATGAAGGTCAATGCCACTGGATTATATAGTACATGTAGGTGAGTGGTGTTTTGGAAAAACTTGGAAAAAAAAACTTGGAAAGGTAGGAAGGGGCCAGATTGTGAAGGATGACAAATGCCAAATAAAGGATTTTATATTGATCCTGAAGAAAGCCAGGGGAGTTTATTGGGTGGAGGAGAGATTTGGTGATATATGTTATCCTTCACAATTGGTGATATGGTCAGACCTGTACTACATTTAGAAAAATTGTTTTGACAACTGGGTGGAAGATGGGACTGGAACAGAAAGAGTTGTAAGGCAGAGAGATCAACAGGAAATAGTGCAGCTGAGAGTTGATGAGGATCTGCACCAGAATGATGGCTATGTGAGTGAAGAGAAGGGGGCTTACATGATAAATGTAAAGAAGATTGGAAAGTTAGGATTGTGAAGATGGAAATAACAAGACTTGGCAACAGATTTGAATATGTGGGTGGTATGAGAGTGAGGAGTTGAAGGTGATGTCACGATTGCAAGCCTGGATGACTGCAAAGATTGTGGTGGCCTCTACGGTAATAAAGAAGATAAGAAGAAGAGAGAGTTTTGGGGGAAAGATAATGGATTCTGTCTTGGATATGTTGACTCTGAGATGCTTATGGCAACATCCAGTTCAGCTGGTGAAGTGAGAATGGAGCTCAGGAGTAAGTTAGGGCTGAATATATAAGTCTGGGAATCATCTGCATAGAGATAGCATTGAATTTATGGTGAGATCACCAAGTAAGATAGTATAGAGGAAGAAAAGAAGAGGGACCTGGATAAAATCTAGGAGAAAACTTATGGTTAGTAGGTGTAATTAGGAGGATCCAGCAAAGGAGATTGACAAGAGGTCAGATGAGAGACTACAAGGCTTGCACATAGAAAGAGAACCAGTGTCATGAAAATCTAGAGAGAAGACAGCATCCAGGAGAAAAGAAATTTTGACTGCATCAGAGGTTGCAAAAAAAGTCAAAAGGATGGGGAATGAGAAAAGGACATTAGGTTTCAATAAAGAGATCACTATTAACTCTGGAGAGAGCAGTTTCAGTCAAATGTAGAGAACTAAAGTCAGATTGAAAATGGTTTAGAAAAGAATGAGAGGAGAAGAAACAGAGGCATTGATTGTAGGTAGCTTTCTCAAGGAATTTAGCTGAGAAAAAGATGAAATAGTGATTTGGGATCAAGTGAGGGTTTTTTTTAAGGATGGCTAAGACATTTGCTACAAAACTGTTATTTTTCTTCTGAAACCTTTGCCTCTTAAGGACGAAGGTGATAATCCTGAGCAATTATTTCTAGATTCTTTAGGGGAATATCTTTTTTTTTTAACCTTATAAATAACCAGAAGTTATCTGGTACTTGAGAAGTTCTTTTTGAGATCCTAAATACTTGTCCCAGGAGGGCAGCAATTCTATTGTTACTACCAGACTGACAAATAGCTGCCTCACTAGCCCTCAACGGGAAGTCACCCAATACAACTACTTGTTTCTTTCTCCTCTCTTACTGGAATGCTATTTCATCTAATGACACCTGTGGACCCACACCATCATCCCTTAGGGTGCAAGCAGCTGCTTCCTCCCCACTGAAAAGGAAAAACCTTTAAATCAATTTGTATTGATTACTTTGATTTATTTTTAATTTGATTGAAGGTTTAAGTTCTCTTTTTTAGGAAAAGTTAGCCCCAACAGCTAAGCGAAGCCAAAAATTTAGCCTGAAACCAATAGACAGATTGGTAAGACTTTATCATTTAGTAGCAGATAATTTAGAGTAAGATATATGCCTTAGTGGGAACAAAATAATCATACAATTATAAGATTTTTTTTAAAGGCTAAGTTCCCTTTTCAGGCAGCTGGAGCATAGGGTAGAGGGGAGGGAGTGGAGCAGGGGATTGCTAACTTACCAACTACAAGCCACAAGCTCCTCTTTCCCAATCTTAGTTCCCTTTTTCCTAAACTCCCTGAAGTAAATTACAACTACAGCCCCCTTTAAAATAAGCCTTTTAATTGCAAAATGCTACAACTTCAGGAAAGAGATTCCAAAGGCAACCTTACTTTGACAGACAGGTTGATAGACACATACCCTAATCCAACAGAATATCAGATTTAATAGCTGTCTCATCCTAGAAACTCCCCATTATGCCCCTAATGTCCACACTCTAAATGTTGCCAATAGTACAACTTTAGGTTAAGAAAGCCTGGGAGAAATGAACTAGTTAGATGACCTGCCTTGTCCAATTGAATTATGTTCAAAACAAGTATCCTAAGATTGCTGTAATTTTTAACTCCTCTTTTCTGTTTTAAAAATAAGCTCTGTAAATCACTCCTTTGTCTCTGACATCTGAGATGACCTGGTTTTCTTGAGCTTTAGGGGTGCTGAGACCCCAAAATCACAACATTTTGGTCTGCCCGAAAGAATTCGACCCAAGCCTTCTTTCAACCAAAGACAAGGTTTATTAGAACATCCGTCAATTGAGCAGACTCTTAAGGAGTCTGAATGTTAGGAAGCTATTGGCTAGATTATAAGAATCTGAGCACCTTAATGGGGACAAGATGGACCCCCAGAAAGACTGTGTGAGGGATCTAGGAGTGGCCAAGTAGTCTGGGGTGACTGGAGGAGGGGTCTAAGGAAGATCTGAATGGGAATGGCCAGTAAGCTGGGGTGAACAGAACACCAGGGACCTAGAGCTGGAGGCCAAGGGACAGCGGAGCCTAGCTAGGATTAAGGGTGGGAAATGGCCATAGGGAGGTAAGATAATGGAGAGCTAGGCTAGGTTAAGGGTAACAGAAGGAGATTGGGTGTAGCCACAATGAAAGAACAGTTGATGAGATTATAGCCTCAGGCAAAAGCCAGGTGGGGAAAGTCCTGGGTTTTTCCTTTTTGGGGTCTAGCTCCCATCCTCATCAGCTTGATATGCAAATGCTAGCTTTGCAAATTAAATTGATACTTGGAAGTCTTATGCCTCAGATTCTTTTTTCTATTTCAGATAATTAATTTAACACCACACTGTGTCCAGTTAGTTCTCTTTTCTTTAGATGGTGCTTCATATCCAAAGCGTAGCTCCAGGAGTTCCAAATTCATTTTGTTGTTGTTGTTGTTGTTGTTGTTGTTGTTTTAGTTATTGCTATACTGATGCTACTTTTTAAAAGTGCTATGAAAAACAAAATAAAATAAAGAAATAAAAAGGCCATGTATTTTCAAGCTAGCATATTTTGACTCAAATAAGAATAGATTTGGGACAGCTAGGTGGCACAGTGGATAGAGCACCAGCCCTGGACTCAGGAGGACCTGAGTTCAAATCCAGCCTCAAACAACACTAGCTGTGTGACCCTGGGCAAGTCACTTAACCCCATTGCCTAAACAAAAAAACAATAGATTACTGTGGGTTGCATATTGAATACCACAAATTAACATTATCTCTGGTATTGTATTTTTATTTATTTTAATAAACACTTCCCAATTGCCTTTTAATCTGGTTTTCATGAGGTCTAGAGGTTTAGGGGTGCTGGGACCCCAAGATCCTAGATCCCATCCTCATCAGTTTGGGCCCTACTAGGGAGTTCTGTGGGAGTTTGTTGCTTGCATATAATGAGTTTGACACCTCTGGGACCTAAAATACATAATCACAATTTTTCTAAGAATCAATGTTATTACAGTGGGTATCTTTCCTTTTCTGAAAAAGGCATATATAAGTCGTGCAGCTTTCTATGGAATGAAAGGAAGATACTCCAAGGCAATTTTGAACTGTAGTGAAGCAATCAGACTTTTTCCTAACAGTGTGAGAGCCTTTCTCTGCAGAGGAGTTTTGAAATTCTACAACAAGGTAAGATTGTTTTTTGACTGAAGGAGATAAAGAAGGCAAAGGATACTCAAGATGCTGACTGTTGTTTGGTTTTCTTTTTAAGCTAAGCATGACTCTATCCCAAGGAAATAATGAACAAGTGGTATTGTTGAGGTGTAGATGCTAGGGTGCTGGGACTCCAAAATCATGACACATGGGTCCTGCCCGAATGAATTCGACCCAAGTCTTCTTTCAGCCAAAGACAAGGTTTATTAAAGATGAACCATACAGGCCAGACTCTTAAGGAATCTGAACATTTGTGACACTCATACAGACAAGCAGGCATGAGAAAGTCTCAGCACCTAAATGGTGGCCAGGATGGATCTTATATACAGAAAGACTATAGGAGGGATCTGGGAGTGGTCATGTAGCTTTGGGGTGACTGGGGAGGCTGGGAGAAGGGGTGTCTTGATGGGAGTGGCCAGTACTGGAGGAGGAGTTTAGGGAGGATCCTGGGGGGAAGGGTCCTGATCCCAATGGGAGTGTCTGGGAGGTTGAATGGAGCATCCAGGAATGGATTTATAATATGGAGCTAGACTTAATTAGGGTAACAAAGAACAGGGAGATTGGGACTAGATAAGGAAAGGCCAGTTGAATGGATTATAGCCTCAGGCAATAGCTTGAGACTTCTTTGACCAAGTAAGTGAGTTCAAGGAAACTTTAAGGGTTTTCTGGGGCCCGTAGACAAATGGGACCTGAGTTCTTTTTGGGGTGAGGGGCAAAGGTCTTAGCTTGGGCCCATACCCCATCAGTACAATAGAGGAGGCTCCTTTACTTTTGGTCTTTGGAGTACCTTCTTGACTGTATAGTATAGAATTAAACAATACTTTATTTAAATGCAAAAACAAAAAAACAAAAAACTTTTCATTCGTAGTATTCCACAAAAACTTGATATAATTCTAGAAAATATCCCCAAAAATTATATGAAAGAATGTAGGCGACTTGCAGTAAGTTGATAAAATATGTGACTCCAAATCATTTTATCTTTCTATTTCTTGTTAATCACTAAGCAATTAAGTGAGGCATTTGAGAGTGCTTACATGCATCTGAGAGAGTTCTGCATGTAATGGTTTTATGAAATTATTTCATTAATTGCTAATCACCATAAAGGAATAATTACATCTTAGACTTTTATGACATAAGAAGTAATTAATTTCTTATTTAGCATATAAGACTATATGAACAAGAATGAATTTTAGAATATATTTGTCACATGTACTGGATTTATCACATGGTCCTGCTAATCACTGGGGCAAGTTCAGAAAATCTATTTAGTAAATTAAAATTAATTATAAAAGGTATTTTTATTATTGGTACTGTCAATTTGAGCCCCCATTCTGGTGTTTTCTCCCCAATAATAGTAGTTGATATAAATTAGCCAGACAGGGTGGTGTCTCCTTTTTAATATTCACTCCTCCCACTCAGTGGCCAATAAGTAGAGGACCTTGACCTCTCAAAGAAACAAACCCTTCAGCACTGATTCACCCTTGGCAGAAAGTCCATAAAGATACAGGTGGGGTTTTCCTTAATTGATCATTGAAGTCAAATGCACAAAAATCTGATGTAAGAGGTGAATTTTAAAAGTGCCATCTAAAAATGACAGTGGATTTCTGGACCACAGCTCAAAATATAGAAATAGCAGGCTCCCAAACAGGAATGGAATGCAACTGAGGTTTGTAAGTCTTACCTTTATTCCCCCATTGTCATACAAATCTATTTAAAAAAAAAAAACAAGATGAAGAAGGGAGGAAAATTCCTAGTATTTCCATCAAACTAGAGACCTTAGAGAGAATTCCATCATAGAAAAAATTGCTACTGAGATAGCTATTCAGATGCTCACAGGAGGCACAATCCAAGAAAGGATCCAAAAAAGCATCCTTTACTTTATAGTATGTTTGAAAGACCCGTGGCCACAAATGTTACTTCATATACATCTACATTAAAACCTCCATTTAAAGATGTACCCAGGCCAACCATTACTTCATTTCCTACCCAACTGCGCTCCTTTGGGCTTCTCTACCATGACCCTACATTAGTTACCTTTCCTCACCCGACCCCACACCCATTCTCTCCACCACTATTTTTCAGCTTCCTTTTGTGTGTTGTCTTCCTCCATTAATTAAATTGTAAGCTTCTTGAAGGCAGGGACTATCTTTCATTTTTTTTATTTGTATCCTCAGCCCTTAGCACAGTGCCTGGCACATAGTAGGCACTTAATAAATGTTTGTTGACTGTCAAATGCCCAATGCTTAGACAATAAGCAATTCGAATTGAAGGGCTTAACTCTAGGAAACAAATTTGATCTCATAGGCATCCCTTGTTGATCACTTGTTGGTATATTGTAGTGAGAATTTTTAGGGGAGGAAATGGCCTGGACTAAATGGTTACTAAAGTTCATTGCAATTCTAAAACTCAGTGATTCTGTGAAGCTTGAATTTGCCTCTTGTAACCTCCACTCACTGTTCTTATTTTTGCCCTGGAGCCAAGTCCAGGAATGGGGAACCTGCAGCTTCAAGGCCACACACAGCCCTCTAGGTCCTCAAGGGTGGCCTTTTGACTAAATCCAGACTTCACAGAACAAATCCCCTTAGTGAAAGAATTTGTTCTGCAAAACTTGGACTCAGTCAAAATGCTGAACCCAAGGACCTAGAAGGCCACATGTGGCCTCGAGGACACAGGTTCCCCACTCCCTGGATCTCTTTTATTTAAGGTAGACCTTCAAATATTTGAAGACAGTTTTTGTGTTCTTCTATTTTCCAGGCTAAATATCCCCATCAACTGAACCCTCAACTGAACATACTGGTGTGAACGCTGCATACCATACCCTAGGGGTTACTGCTTTTCCAGTACTTTGGAAGGCCCCTCCTGAGGGAGGGCTCATTCTGTACCTTGAGAGCATCCTAAAGTCCTTTTCTCCTTGTCTTGAAACACCATATCTTGTACCATAAAATTCTTTCTGTCTCCCTTATCCTATGCCATAAAATTCTTCCTATCTTCCTTATTCTGTACCTCCTTATCTTTAGCCACCATAAAACTACATCCTCATCCAGAACATCTATAGGCTGTATGGCTTTCTACCAGAATTTTGCTATTTATTCCTAGCTCACCAAATGCCAGTAGCCTTACTTAGCACTACTGCTTTATAGATCCGTGGGCTTTTGTGTCAGTAAAGCTTTCACACTGAACCTGCTCGTCCACATTCCAACCTCATTAACATGGCATGAACTCAAGGTCCTTAGCCGTATTGGTTTCCCTTCTCCAGGTACTCTATGGCTTATCAACATCTTTTTCTAAATATGTTGCCCAGAATTCCAGATATGGTCTAACCAGGGCAGAGTACAGTGGGACTATCATCTCCTCATTACTGGAAGCTATACCCATCTTAATATACTCCAAAATCATATTTTTGGATACCATATCATAATGTTGATTGATACTGAGCTTGCAAGCTATGCCATATGTGAATACACACATTCCAATATAAGTTTCCAGGTTAAATACTCCTAGTTCCTTCAACTAATCCTCTTTTGTCATGGCTTTCTGTCCCCTCACCATGCTGGTCATCTTGTCTTTCTTCAAATATAATGCTCAAAATTGAAAATTGTATTCTATATGTAGTCTGATAAGAGAGAGTGTCACAGAGTATTTGGAGAAACATATTGTATCAATGGCAACTATGCCACTATACAAAATTACCCCTTTCTAAATGCTAATTAAGCTTGTCTGACTAATTTATATCAACTACTGTTATTGGGGAGAAAACATCAGAATGGGGGCTCAAGTTGACAGTATTAGAAAGATATCTCCAACTCCTCAGGAATACCCCTAACACTCTGAGGGGAAATATAGCAGTCAACTCTGGGAATTTAATTCATCAGTTAAAATGAAAGTTGAGACAACCCCCAGAACCCACATATGCTACATATGAAGCATTTCCAGGATAAATACTTGTCTCTTCACATTTGTAGGAATTCCTGGAATAATTCTCCAACTAGAAATTTAATTATTGGGTTCCCTAGTTTCAACATCTACCAGAGAAAAAATAGCAATTTTTTCTCTCTTTTAAACTGTAATTGACCAATCTATTTTTCTGTTTGGAGAATAGACCAGTTCTTTTGAGACATTCCTTGTTTATTTGAATGTCTGTGTACATATAACAATTGTATTACCACACCCTACTTGAGTATTGCAGCTAATATGAAAAGTATGTATTTCGCATCCCTAACATGCAGTGTCTGGCTGATCAGTCTTCATCTTTCTTTGCTTTTGAGCAAACCTAGACTGTTTGCCTTATTATGAGATCCTTAACTACTGCAGATCCACAGGGTCAAATTTGCCTATTGGCCTAGAAACCCAGAGTAATCAACCCTAAATGCTTAAAATCTTTTCTTGGGAGCCTCTCACTAGTTCAGAGCTTAACTGATCCTATTCTTTGCTCTCCAACTAAAGCTACTTGTCCTGTTTTGGGAGTGTTTGGATTTCTTTGCATTGCCTTTGAAGTGGCAAGAATCCATTGTGAAATTTCTATTTCCAAGATCACCTCTTGAGAACTTTTAGTTTGTCCATGTAAAAAAGAGACTCCAGAAGATTTTGTCCAGACTTCCTGTTGAATTCCTTTATGTTTCATGAATTCCTGGAGAAATTTTGGGCTACCCTTTGTTGTAGGGGCATAGAACAATTTTGTAGTATTAAAGTCACCCTTTTAATGTGGGTCCAAATCAGGAGGAAAGGAAGGTGAAAGGAATTAGTGGAAGAGGAAAAGGGCGAAATTTCCCAGCCTCCCTGCAGCGTGGAGACAGTCTGCAAGCACTAAAGGCAAACTGGTTTGGTTTCTCACCCAAAGGTAAGACAGTGTTTTCCAGTCAACTCCAAGTCCTAATACCCATGGGATGAGTCCCAGATGTTATGGGATGAGTCCCACATGCTCTGGGATTTCTGTAGTAACTAAGCTTACCTTCTAAGATAAGAAGCTTTATTTTGTT